TGTCACTGGTCTAGAAAGAAGATCCTCTAATCCCAGCCTCTCACAAAGCTAGGGTGACAGGTATGCACTACTGAGCCCAACTCTTGGTTGAGAAGAGGCCTTGTGAATTTTTCTGCCCAAACTGGCCTTGAACTGTAATCTTCTCAATCTCAGCCTCTTGAGTAGTCAAGATTATAAATATGAGCCTCTGTTTACTCATACGCTCATACGCTAGAATGTAATTAGTGAGATTTTCTTTGACAATATTAATTTCTCACCCTAAATTCCTTGGATTCAAATCTAGCTTTGACTCTCCCTGCCCCAGTGTTATTTATGATCCCTAAGTCCTCTCTGCTTCTGCTGTGGGAAATGCTGCACAGGTCTTTTTTTTGCTCATTTTTATATTCTGCTTTTAAACAATGAAAATCTTTACATTTAATTACTAAATTAGAATTTTAAGCAACTGAAAACATTCTAATGGGAATAGCTAAAATGAACAGCCCTTTATACCTGGCCCATCCTTCAATACGTGAACACTGAAGTTTCTCTGCTCAGTGATTTTTTTCCACTAGTAGATTTCGGACATGAAAAATTGTTAAAAATAGGGAAAAATTAAAACTTGTCTTAAGTGAAAACTTTCAAGTATTAATAAATCTTTAAATTATCTCACACGAATCCTCCCACATTTAGTTAAATCTTTAAATGGAGTCATATTTTTTGTAAAAATGATATATGTGCTATGTTTTCCAAAGAAATATTTAACTCTTAATCACTTGCTATGTTTTATCTAAAGATGTTGAGCTGGTACAATTAGACTATATAACTCAGGGGACCTCAATCTTGTTTCGGCTACTAATGGCTTCTTTTAGCTTTAGTTTAAGTTACTTTCCCCTTCAAAGACTAGGAGTTCTCAGCTATGAGAGGCAGAGGTGGGTATGAGTCAGTGTTTCTCAGAGTGTGGTCCATGAGCTCCTGAGGTTCTCTGGATGATAAGGCCAAAATTGCTTTCATAATAAAATGAAGAGGCTACCCACAATCCTTCCACTGTGTTGGTCTTTGCAGGGACAGCACTAAAGAAACAGTAACAAGTACTGCATGTACTTTAGCATGAATCCAGGCAGAGCACCCCACCAAGTCCCCACACAGTCACTGTGCAAGTTCACTGCCACACATTTGCAGCACACAAAAGCTACCAGTTTTTAGTAAATTAGTCTTTTAATACTATGTGACACAATAAAGCCCTTAGCTAGTAACAGAAAGCTGAAAAATCCAACTAAATCTTTCATTCTTTTATTTTTAAATTTTATTGTTAAAATACCATACAGAGGGGTTACAATTACATGGGCAAGATAATGAGTACATTTCTTATCAAGCATTGTTGCCTTCTCCTTTGTTTCCCCTTACCATCCCTTCCCATTACCCCCCCAGCTCCTCCTACCTGATCCTCCCCCCACCCCCCCCAAATCTTTCATTCTTTAGAAATGAAAATAAAGTGAATGTGAACAGAATTCACCTTAGTCTCAGTAATAGTGAACAATACTCTATATCACATTATGTCATTAAAGAATCTGACATGAAATGTTGAAAAATTGCTAAGTAACAATATTCTCCTTAATGGAATTAACTGCCACACTTCAGTAGTATCTGCCTTACCTATTACATGTGCCAGCATATACACTGTTGATTTTATATGGTAAAAAAAACTATCAGGGACAATTGTAAATTACTCTCCAATGATTTTGCAAATTAAAAATCGACACTATTGATGTAAAACAATCTTATACATATTTATTAAAGTATTAAATCTTAAACTGAAAATGATTTTTGCCAAGCATTAAGAAATTATAAAGTTCTATAAAATATCAACAGTGTAGTGTATGTATTTTATTAACTTAATTAAGTTTTCTCTGGTAAAATGAGAAGAAAGGACATTTAGAAGGCTACATAAGTGGAAGACAATATACAGATTAGGACCAATATTTTGTTGAAATAAAATCAGCTTTATCATTTCCTAACAAAGGGGAAATGTCATTCTTTCTGATGGAGGCATAGAATTCCACTGTGTATATATACCATATTTTCTTGATCTACTGAGGGGCATCTGGGTTGGTTCTATATCTTAGCTATGGTAAATAATGCTCCAATAAACATAGTTGTGCTGGTAGCTTTAGTATGGTCTTGTTTGTGATTCTTTGGGTAAATGCCCAAAAGTGGGATTGCTGTGTCATAGGAGAGCTCTATGTGGAGTCTTTTAAGGAATTTCCATACTTTCCAAAGTGGTTGAACAAGTTTACACTCCCACCAACAATGCAGTAGGGTTCCCTTCTGGCCACATCCCCTCCAGCATTTGTTGTTTAATTAGAGTTCTTGATTCTAGCCATTCTAACTGGCGTGAGCTGGAATCCCAGATGCCCCTCAGTAGATGAATGGATCAAGAAAATGTGGTATATATACAATGGAATTCTATGCCTCCATCAGAAAGAATGACATTGCCCCATTTGTTAGGAAATTAAAGACTTGGAAAAAATTATATTAAGTGAAGTAAGCCAGGCCAAAAGAAACCTAGGTCCCATGGTTTCTCTTATTTGCAATAACTAGTATATGTCTGAGACAAGCAGAAATGGTCAGATAAGTTGATGTTAGGCGAAATGAACCCCAAGATAAGGATTCAAATGTTTTTTCTTTCTTGTGATTGTTTCTAACATATTTACAAGATGATTTCTTCGTTGCTTTGTATGTCCCTCCCCCATCATATAACCCCTGTTTTCACTGTATTTGATGTTGTTATAATTTGTGGAGGGGAAGGGAAAAAACAAATTGTGTAAATAGGGATACAGGTGGACCCATTGCAACAATGAGACGTACAAGACGTTATGTAGAAAAACGAACTTTACAACTTTGGCGGGGGGGCGGGAGGGGGGAGAGAAGGGGAAGGGATGGTAAGGGGAAACAGGAGGAGGCAACAATGCTTGATAAGAAATGAACTCATTACCTTGCCCATGTAATTGTAACCCCTCTGTATGGTATTTTCACAATAAAAAATTAAAAATTAAAAAAAATCAGCCTTACTTGAGTTTAGACTGGCACTTAAATAATACTTTATGATTATGTCTGCTTATCTTTCATACGTTTGTCTATTACTGTTTATAGTTTTTTTTTAAAAAAATAACCACCCATCTAACAAGGTCTCCAAATAAAAAAGCATGAACTATCTCCCTGCATATCACCTGCTTTCCCCACAAAGATAACTACCTTATGAATATCTTGTTTATCCCTCTGGAGATTTTTTTAATGCATCTAAAAATACTACTTGAATAGTACATAATTAATGTAATATTATTAATATAGTGCTCAACACTTTACTTTGTTAATATTTAATAATATTAAATGATCTTAATCAAATCTAACACTGCCAGTAGGACTCTGTACATTCAATCCATTTAAGACAGTTGGAGGTCTTGCTGTGTGAAGCACAGAGCCTCTCCCTTTTTCTGTTCTGTAGCCTGGCAGAATTCCACTGCATGGCTATACAGATGTACTGAACTGGTCCCCTCCTGAAGGACTTGTAGGTTGCTTTCACTCTTCTGCTTTCAAGCAAAGAAAAACACTTTGTACAAATGTCATTCTACAAGTAACTATCTCTGTTGTAAACCTACAGAAGGAGGAGAAAGCTGTATAAAGACAAGTGCTGAGTTGGAGCATGAAAGCACCTCATATTTTTCATCATATTTCTGAATCACTGCCCCACAGGGGTTATATCTATTTGCAGACATAGAGACTGTTTCTCTTACATCTTTGATAAAAGCTTTTAGGTTTTTGGACTTTTCCAATCTAATAAGTGAAAAATGAGTATTTTAATGTCTGATTTTCATTTACATTTCCCTTTTTTTTAAAAAAAATGAGGCTGAATGTACTTGCTCATTTTTAAAGCTATTTGTTTTCCCTTTTGGATGAACTATAGTTAATCCTTTGCTGATTTGCCTACTCAATGTAGACATTTTCTCAGTGATTTCTAGGAGAAACTATTGGCAATATATGAATTGTAACCTCCACCTCCACCTTGGTTGCTGTTTTCTGTGTCTGTGTGTGCACACATGCATGCATGCACACGTATGGGTTACTCCTGGAGTTGTACTCAGGGCCTCACACTCTCATTTGAAATTTTTTGCTCATGGCTGGTGATTTACTCACTTGAGCCACATCTCCACTTCTTGCTTTTTGTGGGTTAATTGGAGATATGATTTTTTTTATGGACTTTTCTGCCTGGGTTTGGCTTCCAATCTTTATTCTTAGATCTCAGCTTCCTGAATAGCTCAGATGTACAGGCATGAGCCACTGGTGCCACACTAGTTTCTATTAGCAAATAACAATGTAATAAACATCTTTTGTGGTTATATTCTTTGTGTATAAAATTTGTTGATGTACTTTTGTACATCCTGTACTTTTTTAATTACTTTCTTTCTCCTGAAAGAAAGAACTTTTGAAGATAAGTGTTGAGGACCTTCATGTTATTCTTTCCTTTCTTAGGTTTTAGTAATGGAAGCACTTGAGCTTTATGTTTTCTAGAGGAAAGGAGATGCTGGCCACATTATAAGTTTTTCTACAGTGTCCTAAGGTTATTTCTGAAAGCTGTAATTCCATTTTTGATGTCTTTCTTGACTCAAGTGTTAATTAGGAAGTATCCTGAATTTGTTGGTTTTCAAAGATTATTTTTTCTTGTTGTTAATGTCTGTTTTTTATTGCATTGAGAGTTGAAAATTTCAATTTATGATTTCTTTTTACATTTAAAGATTTTTCTTTTTTCTTTCTAAAACCAAATTGGAGTCATATTTTGCTTAATCTTAAATTTTTTCCCTCAATTTTTAAAGGCTGTACACAAGGATAATATTTATGTTATCGGCACATCTAAGCCTCTACACATCACCGAACACTACTGTGTTTGATGTTCTGGCTCTCTATAAAAATATACAGAAGTAAAGGAAAACTGTAATAAAATTTCCAATGAAAAAGCAGAATGTTACCTGAAACATATCCGTATCTTTATCATGGGTGTATTCCACTACCACCGTCTGATTCCTTGACAAAGTGTAGGATATGCTGTGTTGACCTTTAGAGCTGATGGCCTAGTCATGAGATAAAAAGGAACAAAAACTCATTATGATTTTGTCTTAAAAACTTGTCACAATCTAGTTTGTAGTTATGCATCAGCCCTCTACCAGGAGAATGAAACATAGGCCAGCGTCCTCCTAACAGTCTGTCTGTTCCTTGAACTGTAGATGATCCAAAAACAATGATTCCAGGTTTATAACATGTTTCCCATCTTAAAGTAAACAATATTGTGTTTAAATCAAATCAAATATACTTTATAAGTTTGCAAGACTTGATTTAACCATTATGTTATATTACCTACACTTGGATAGAATTTTTAGACTAATTGTAGTCACTGAGTTACTTAAAAAAATAAATTTCAATGAACTTTACAACTTTGGTGGGGGGGGGGAGGATTGGGTGGGGGAATGGGGGGAGGCTGGGAAGGGATGTGAAGGGTAAACAAAGGAGGAGGCTGCAATGCTTGATAAGAAATGTACTCATTATCTTGCCCATGTAATTGTAACCCCTCTATACAGTATGTTCACAATAAAAAAAAAAAGAAATGTACTCATTATCTTGCCCATGTAATTGTAACCCCTCTGTACAGTATTTTCACAATAAAAAAAAGAAATAATGCAAAAAATAAATTTCATCATGCAGCTAAGTTAATAGCATTTTTTTGAGGTTACAGAAATTATAAGCACAGTAAAAGGGTCACTAAAAAAAACTGTCAATGTCCTGCAAAGATTTCTAATACACTATCCCAGCCAACGACAAGTTACTCTGTTCTGTATCTCATTTACATATCTTGTGTAAGCAGTTGTTGAACCCAAACAGTGAGTTAATAAAACATGACAGCATATGGTAGCACACCCTTATAATTCTAGTACTCAGTATGCAGAGGCAGGAGGATCTCAAATTCAAGGCTACCCAGAGCTTCACAGTTCAAGGGAAGCCTTAGCTACACAGTGAGATCATATCTAAAACAAACAAACAAACAAAAAACAAACACCTCCTCCTGTCCCCCCAAAAACCCAAACCAAAAGAAAATATTCTTGTATTTTTTTCTCCTGGTTTTGTATAAGAAAAAGCTAATATTCTTATTCAAATAATCTAGGATTAGCAAGACAAAGTATTGCTCTATTTTCTCCATTATGGTATATTTAAATATATCTTAAGTTGGTCATATACTTTTAATATTTCTAAATTAACAAAGAAATTGATTTAAATTGTACTTCAAATTATTGCAATTACATTTTCTCCATTACTTTAACTTAATTCATCTTCATTTCTACCCTTGCACATTAAGTACAATACATAAAACTTTAATGAGCTTTTCTATTAAACATTTATTGAGTGATGATACTGTATGAACACTAAGAAAGCCTTTAGAAGTAGCTAGCCATATACAGCATATTAATGAAAAATGTACTCTTAAACACTGGTATTTGACTGCTGTAAATTCTTAGAACAATAAACAGTACAATATTCCAAATCATGTTTGAAGTTGGCCTGGTGAAACTCATGGTCATTTAAAAACTTTTCCCAAACAACTGTCCAATTAATAAGTGGGCTAAAAACTTAAGAGAAACTTCTCTGAAGAGGAAATAAGAATGGCCAATAGACACATGAAGAAATGTTCAATTTCTCTAGCCATAAAAGAAATGCAAATCAAACAACGTTGAGATTCTACCTCACCCCAGTTAGAATGGCTAGAATCAAGAAATCTAACAACAGATGCTGGAGGGGATGTGGCCAAAAGGCATTGCTGGTGGGAATGTAAACTTGTTTAACCACTTTGGAAAGCAGTATGGAAGTTCCTCAAAAGACTCCACATAGAACTCCCCTATGACCCAGCAATCCCACTTTTAGGCATTTACCCAAAGGATCACAAACAAGGCTATACTAAAGCTAGCAGCACAACTATGTTTACTGCAGCATTATTTACCATAGCTAAGATATGGAACCAACCCAGATGCTCCTCAGTAGATGAATGGATCAAGAAAATGTCATGTGTGTGTGTGTGTGTGTGTGTGTGGGGCTGTGTGTGTGTGTATGTATATATATACACACACACACACATATATATATACATATATACACACATATATACATATATATATATATATATATATATATATATATATAATGGAATTCTATGCCTCCATCAGAAAGAATGACACCAAATTTGTTAGGAAATGGAAAGACGGAAAAGATTATATTAAGTGAAGTAATCCAGTACCAAAGAAACAGGTTCCGTGGTTTCCCTTATTTGCAATAACTAGTATAAGTCTAGGACAAGCAGAAAAGGTCAAAAGCTATGTACATATGACCATGTAAGATGATGCTAAGCGAAATGAACCCCAATATACAAGGGTTTTTTAATCTTTCTTGTTGTTGTTTTTAATGTATCTATAATGTAACATGTGATTCTTTTTGTTTCTTTTACTTTCTTTCCCCATAGTATATAACCCCTGTTTTTACTGTATTTGATTCCGGTGCCCTGCATCTTGTATATACATTTTTCTAATTTGGGGAGGGAAAAGGAAATAACAAAATGCTGAAATAAGGATACAGGTTGACCCATTATAACAATGAGATGTATAAGACACCATGTTGAAAATGAACTTTATAACTTTGGGGGGGGGCGGGGAGGAGCTGGGGAGGTAGGAAGGGAATAGTAGGGGGAAAAACCAAGGAGGTAACAATGCTCCATAGAAAATGTACTCATTACCTTACCCATGTAACTGTAACCCCTCCGTACAGTATTTTTACAGTAAAAAATATATACAAAAAATAACTTTTCCAAAAGAAACTTAATGATTGAATTGATATTTTAGATGCTTTTTTAAAGATAATAAACCTATTAAAGGTAATGTGGAGCTTTAACATGCTCAGGAATCTGAAAAATACTTCTTAAACTGGTTATTTCCACTGACAAATGGAAATTTTCACATTTTTATTGTTCCAAGTTAACAAATTCAACTTTGATACTATTTGAAAGCCATATTTATAGAGAACTACTTCTACTTTAAGATATGTATCCAGATGATACAGATGTGGTAACTGACCCGATTGTACTTACAGTTCCTCAGGTATAAAAGCCTGTCATCTATGATGTTCATGTACTATTAGCATTATTTTTTTTTTTTTTTATCATAACTGACCTAAAAAAAGGGAGTTAAAGCTCATTGGTCTTACTGCATTAAGGCAAAAACTAAACACCAAGTAGAGCAAACAATGTGTAGAACTTCACTTTCTCTCCTTAAATACAAAGCAGCTGCCGAACAACCAGTAATTACAAAATGGATTTATTCTTCCAAATGAGTTTCACACACAGCTCCTTCACTGGCCGTAACTTTCTGTTCTGGAGACAATAAGGTACTATCTATCCATGTTCTCTTGAATCTGGGCTTGGCTGGCCTTGGTGCCTGGCCCATGTGAGGTGGTGGAGGTGTCTGATGTGGAGTCCCCTAGCTGAGTTAGAAGCTGGGCACTTCTATTTGCCAGTCTTCTATTTGCCAGTCTTGGAGTTGGCAGCCTGACTCCTCAGACACCTGCTATGAGAAGCCTGAGCCAGTAACAGGCCCTGGAGAATAATCTGTGATATGGGGAGAGGAGGGCCAAGAGGACCAGGATGGGAACACGGTGAGTAAGAAACAGCTTCAGAGGAGGTGCTCCGGGTCTAGCTGCCCCCACAGTGAGGCCAGTCCCAGGACATGGCTTCACACTCCATCCTGGATTTTTTGGAGGGTCTACCAAAAGACCCCACTGTAAGCTGTTCTCAGTGATGTCATGTCTTGGAACTCTTTTAATAAAGCCTGGAAAAGCACACATAGACTCTCTGCTAAGACGTCTAGTGTCTTTGGGATAGCTTTTCTTTTCAGCCACTTTAACTGTTAACTTCCATATGAAATTTAATATTTCAGTCCATTGTTCAATTTAAATAAATAAACGTGAAATGATTGCTACAGAGACAATTTGATAAAATGGGCACAGTGAGGCCCTCCAGTGACTGCCCGCTCGCAGCAGTTCCAGCTATTACACAGGCAATTCTGCAGCACAGTATTTTGCTGTGGAAGCAAGTTAATTGCCACGGGAAACAATAATGCACCCATCTGGGGTCAGGTCTAATGGGCTCAATGAACTGCATTGTTTTTATTCAGAAACAACCTTGGATATGTTATATTTGTGACAGAGACATGCACACTTGTGAGCAATTGAACTAATTTCCTGTGACTGCATAGCAACCTGGAAATAGTGTATACTATAATGCTGGGCAGTCATATTCCCTAGTCTGAATACCAGAGTATCATGGGTACTATACAGGCATACAAAGCTGCCATGGGAGAAATCACAGTGTTTCACTGCAAAGTTTATTGGCAAATCAGCACACTAAACATCACTGATGCCGATGCAGTTAATCCCAATCTGAGCACTCCAACTTCACGTGTACTTTAGGAAAGCATCCACCACAGGTGGATGCTTCAGAGATCAACTTGGCTAGCGATTCCTGAGGGAACAGCACACTGGATCAGGTTTGAATTCCAGCTCAGATACTAACTACAGCCAAGTTACACTCCCCTTCTCATTCTTTAGTTACCACCTCTCTCTAATTCATCAACAAAGGGGGTCCAGGCCAGTAGCACCCATTTCAATGTATTCAAAGTCGAGGCAGTGTGCACATGTGGCATTTTCTTTCCGCACATGAGAACCTGTCCTTAGAGCACAGCTTCATGACCCTGGGCACTTGCCACCAGTTCCCCTGTAGTCCGCCCCATGTGCTTTGGCTTTAAATATACATCAGATATTGACTGTATTAATTAGAGACAATCCTGGTATGACAAACATGTTTTTCCAGAACTAATGACTTTTATGTCAGGATGACAAGTATAATTAGGCAATAAATCCTCAATCAGTCTGGTTCAAATTGCTATTAGGTCTCTGCCATCCCTGTCAATTTATGTATAAAATATGTATGAGTTCTATTTCTACAGAGAAGAGGTGGCTAAGGGAATTCTTAACAATGCAT